TCTTGTATCCAACAAGTGTGTGGTCACATTTTGTATGTGTGTGCGTCCATTCACGTGCTGTGTTTCCCTGGATTGGTGTGTGTGTGCTTATGTGTGTTCTTGGCTTCCTTGTGTGTGTGTGCAAGTGTGTGTCACCCATAGAGGACAATAGCCTGGGTCATCTGACTGAGAGGCTGCAGACCACTCGTATCACATGACAGAGGCTGAAGGCCACGTCTTTGTTACCAGGCCTATTGTTAAAGCTAAGGAGACAGCTGGGACAGGGGAAGGGAATCACTGCATGCACAACACACACACACCACACACATACAGGAAAACCAAACACATGCACACACACACACACACACACACACACACACACACACACACACACACACACGCAAACGCATACGCCACCCCTCGTGACTCCAATCAGGCTCAGTGACAAAGATGATGCCTTCTTCTCAACTGGAATACTAAGACACACACTGTCAAACATGCACCCACACACACACACACACACACACACACAACACACACACACACACACACACACACACACACACACACACACACACACACACACACACACACACACACACACACACACACACACACACACACACACACACACACACACACACACACACACACACCACGTTGCAAGCAGATAGCTATAATTATATTGACAGAAACTGGCAGGTGGCATTGTCTGTAGCACACCGCTCTCTGTAAAGCAGCTACAGACACAGAGAGGAAGACTTAGTTACTTAGTGCTCATACCTTCTTAATGCCATTGAGTGACAGCAACAAAAGTGTGTGTGTAGATTATGAGCTTAGGTGTGTGTGTATCTTGTTTTCTAAAAATGTATGTTCATTTTCCTGGCTCCCTATAAGTTCTGTTTAGGCATCTCAAGCTCCCGGTAAGGGAAAGATCGACATCTTGGTAAAACATGTAGACATTTATCATTTTGACAAAACGCTTTAATATAAATGTTTCAATAGCCTTCAGCTAACAGTATGTCGCAGGATGCCAATCCCAGTCTCCAGTGTCAGAACCTTAAGCGCCCATCCGCCCACACTGACCTACTCAGCAATGTCTTTGGCCAAAGCACATAGACACATTTGTGAAGGAGACAAGGTTGCAGCTAACTGTGGTCCAATGGAAATTGTTTCGATACATTATATAAGAAAGTCTATAGTTCTGAACTGGTTGTTTTACGTGAAGCCCTATGCACACCCGAGTATAATTTTCATGTGCTTTGGTACCCCTCTCTTAATATAGTTTAGGGGGGTCTCAAAATAATTGGCATGGAATAGACAAATCAAGATAATAAATCATGTTGTCTATGGGTAAAAAACACATCTAGTGTGTATGATGTAGTAGTGAGTGCCCCTAAGCCCTGAATGAGAGAGAGATCAGAGTGGGATAGAGAAGGAGGAGAGGACAGGTGTAGTCTTTGAAATGTGTGTGTGCGCGGGTGAGGGTGTGTGTCTGCCTTCTGGGTAGGTTACAAATAGAAGACATAAAAAGGTAAGGACAACAGAAAGACGAATGAGGACACGAGGAGAAAGGACTTCGGGCTAATGGATTGAGACAGACTATTGTTTCATATTTTGGTGTCATTAATTACAAAATGATTAGAGACAGCTTCAGCATTTAGCACAATACGCACAGCTTCAGCTCCAAGCATGTGATGTAAAGCGGGGAGAGGAAAAGGGAGAATCGGACAGAATCTCCACTTTGTGAATCGATTACTGAGAGTCGAGCTCGGCCCATTTTCCATGGACTTGAGTGAAGCGGTAGAGATGAGTGAATGGATGAATAAGGAGAGACAAAGAATGACAAAGAGTCTAAAACGGCGGAGAAAGACATGAGAAGTTGAGCCTTTCATAAAGTGCACAGCTTATGAAACCAGATAGCCCTGAAATGTGAGTGTGTGACCACTCTGTGGCCTCCAGGTGTGTGTGTGTATGTGTGTGTGTGTGTGTGTGTGCGTGTGTGTGTGTGTACGGCTGGCTCAAAGTCAAAGGGCAGATTTTGGTAGCAGCCACACCCACCCTTCAAGGGACGGTATCTCTGCTCTTTCAGACGAACACAAATGAGTGTGTGTGCGTGAACAGGTGTGTGTGGCGCAGCTGTGCCGTGGTTTGGTGCTGACAGAGCCAGCGAGGATCCTTGAACTGGAAAGATGAGAATGTCCTCGAGAAGGCTTCATAAAATGTCTCATTGTCCCTCTTCAGCCGCCACAAACACACACACCAAATATTACAACTCCATCCCTTTCTATTCTCTCTGAGTGGCGAATGTGCTCACACACACACACCACACACACACACACACACACACACACAACACACACACACACACACACACACACACTCACAAGATAAGACTGGAATGCCCAATGCTGCTGGCAGACTTGTCTCAATATAAAAGAAACGTTTCTCTTCCTCTTGGCAGAAGGTAGACTCTGACACCTTTCCCCGAGTGTCCTGGCAAAGAAGTCTCTCTCTGTCTCTGTTTGTTTTCCCCTCTTCTTTTTTTTTTGAAGGGGAGACTATTCCCTGTTTCCTTTCCCATTCTCCTGCCTCCTTCCTTTCTTTGCCTTCCTCATTAGTTTATGGGCAGAGCTGCAATTAGGACGGGGGGAAGGAGGAGAGAGGAGACAGTGAGGAGTGAGGGAGGGAGAGAGGTAAACAAGAAAGAAGAGTTGAAAGAATGTGACTGGAGAGGAGATGGGGAGGTAGTTAATGAAGCTGCTATAATTACTGGGGCCTGTTCACGCCAACTAGACAACACACACACACACACACACACACACACACAGAGGCAACACACACACACAACACACACACACACACACACAACAAATTACTCTCACCTTTCCACAGCATTAACCTACTATGACTATTTAAAATGCTGGCCATGTGCGTTAACTAATGACACAAGCTGTTTCCCAACCCACCATAAAGGACACACTTCCTTATCCACCATGTAGACATTGTTGACAAAGATTATGTTTGCTTTTTTTTAACAGGAAAACATGAGAAAATGCAAATGTATAACCTTGCAAGGTCTTCTATTGGCAGGTCATTTGACAAAGAGCAGATTTTTATGGAAGAAATAAAAGCTGTTGGGGCATAAAGAGGATGAGACAGGTGAAGGGTGGAGCGTTTTGAGAGGGAGAAAGGGGGGTAGTGAAAGAGAGAAGAGACTCTGGAGGAGTTAAAGATGGGGTGTAGGAGAAAAGAATAAGAGGGGAGGATTTTAAAAGGATAAAAGGAGAGATGAAAAGGCAGCAGGGGACAAAGGATAGGACAAAGCTAAATTAAAGAGGAATAAGAGTAGAAGGACAGGAGGTTGCGAGATAAACAAAATCGGCAGAGGACAGATTCATCAGGAAGGAGAGGAGGCAAGGAAAGAGTAACAAAAAGGAGGGAAGGAGTTGAGGTGGGTGCGATGGGGACAAACCAAGGTGGAACTCTGATGATGCTATATTTGGCAAAAGGAGAAGACTTCTGTGTGTGTGTGTGTGTGTCGTGAGACTTGCTGAATCGGCCATGGTTCCAGTTTCACGCCTCTGAGTTTGACACAGGGGGAGGGAGAAAGAGAGAGAGAGAGGGAGAGAGAGGGTCCCTACTAGCCGGTGATGTTCCCTCAGGGCGGGCGGACGAAAGGGTGGAGGGATGGAAGGAGGGAGGTTAAGGGAGAGAAGGAAGAGGAAAAGATTTATACCTACCTTTGCAAACACGCCATGGCTTTATGGTCTTTTAGTGAAGTCAGCATCCTTTACTGATCACAATGATATGTTATAGGGCTGCAAACTAGCCGGTTAACCTCAAATCCCTATATTTATATGAAAAAGAAGAGGCCTTTTTATGAGGGAGCGCAATAACAATCAACCAGGCTTGAGTCGCAGCGGGTCAAGATTATATTCAGTAGGTCTTCACATGGCCCCATGTTGTCGCTGCTGACCTCAGGCCTGTGTGTCAATGTGTCTTATAACGATTGCAGTAGAAACTGTTGGTGTTCTCCAATGAAATCGATCTGTTCAGGTTACCCATGTTTCCAATTGGGTTGAATGTTTCCTGTGGGTTGAGTCTCTTTGTATTGGAACTGTATTTATACAAATTAAACTACATGTTTAATGTAAAAGTTCTTAGTTTTCTGCTTTCCAGTGTACTCATTTTCATATTGCACGGTAATGACCTAATGAAGGCCGCGCTTATTGTGGTACTCTTGGCACTAAGTACAAGTGTTTTTGATGTGTGTTAAACATTCAAAGCCATTGTCATAGTTCTCATACCCCTGACCTCAGTATGAACCTTACCCTACAGTCCCCCCTGAAGCCCAACACACACACAGAAATGATTTGCATGTGTGTGTTTCCTGTACAAGCTCTTTATATACACACCATCGCCAAGCTACCTGACTCTCGTTATGCAAAGCATTCGCTGTTCGTTCCTCGGAATACAGAGTGCTCAGATATCTCGACGTCTCTGCAAATCTTTCCCTCTGTGCATTTAAGCTCCAACTTAGCTCAAATGCTTCTCTCCTTAGGCAAAAGAGGAAAGTGTGTGTGTCAGCGTTGAGGTGTGTGTGCTAATGGACATCTAAATGCTGCTGATGTTACGTTGAATAGTTTAAGGGCCCTCAGGTCCCCTTAGACCAATATTGGGAGAGAAAAAGTGAGGGAGCGAATGTGACTTCTGCAAATCGCTTTGACAAGGACACCCGCGCCTCGAGCGGCGTCCTCTTTCGCCTCATCGAACACACACACACACAAACACACACACATACTGCGACATCCACACCTCAGCAGAATCGTGAGGTGACTGTTGCGCTCTGAACAGCTGACTTGGTAGAGGACGTCTGTGTGAGCGTTGTGCTGAATCCACTTTTAATTCAATTTAGAAAGTGAGCCAAGTAACAGTTTGATGATGGGATTCGTAATATTTGTCCGAGGCAGTATATCTTTTTGAAAAATACAAATCAATCATATATAATCCAGACTAACCTCAAAGTCGTTGGCCTTGTTGTAGTGCATGTTGAGCGCCCTGAAGAGCTCGGAGTCACGCCCCACCGCCAGCTCGTCTGTAGAGGTCACCCCCTCGTTGATAGACTGCCGGGCGAACTTCTCCATCTGAATGTAGTAGAACTCCCTGAAGTTGCTGAACCACTTGATCAGCTGGGAGGTGATGCATCGATTGAACTGAAGTCAGAGAAAGAACAGAATATGTTTTATTAGAGGTTACATTTATCTGCGCTGAATGCTGCTTCCTGTTGGTGCTGCACATTCATTTGCATGGTGGTATTTCATCTAATGTGACATGACCTGAATCCCTATGTGACTGCTAACCTTGGATTATGGCACGAAATCATAACTATGTGTGTGTACTTGAATAAAACCTAAATTGTACATTTTTAACAAAGTCCAAAACGTATATTTGTTCTCATGTGGGTCTCTGTTTATACAAAATGTATGCTCTGAGTATCCCTACAGTTAACACACAGTTAAAAACTCTGAAGAATACTCCATATCCACCTCATTAGACACTCAAATGTTGTCTGCACCTTGAGGGCTCCTTGTTGTGAAATCAAATAATAAATAATCGGCCCCTAGAAACCTTCCTATAATCAAACAAGAATGACCCAAATATGATCTTATTGCTACGCCATCATAGGCTTCCAGACTAAGCTGAAGCAACATTAAACGGCTCTCATTAAACACTGCTCTTGCCCTGCAGGCCTGGACAGTACAAGGCAAAGGACCTCTGCCACATTAAGACATTTAAGCTGTTTTGCAGATCTTTCAAAACAAAATGTTATTTTTTTGTTTGTAGTTTATATGAATGAGGGACAGACCTATAAGCAGATATTTTCTAATTCAAAAATCTCATTTAAAACTGACAAACATCTAGAATGTAATTACTCTATTCACGCGCCTGCGTATCTACTCACTCATCTCGTCCTCATAAGAAACGAAACGTGGAGAGAACAAGTGCCCAGTGAAAGTGTGTGTGTATGTGTTCGGTGAAGGGGAAAAACGGCTTTGATACGGAGATTAAGCTCGCTATTGTTACAAGACATTGTCTCACAGGAACAAGGGATGAGCGAGGGAGAGATGAATAGAGCGAGGCAGCATGGAAAAATAAATGGGGAGAGAGAGAGAGACTAGCATAGGAGGACGGTGAGGGGAAGGGATATTTTTTCAGGAGCGGTCAGAGGGGGTGACATAATGGAGCATAATTGGAAGGCTTGGAGTGTGTGTGTGTGTGCGTGTGTGTGTGTGTGTGTGTCACAGCAGAAGCAAAGGGGATTTGCATAGCATATTGGAAGCAGGGGGAAATTGTGTGTGTTGGGGGGTGTTTTGACCCACAAAAGAGTTTAACCTGATAACTACTGTATGTAATTAACACACAAGGCGATGTCATCCCAATCTATCCCCTCAAAAAACTCTAATTCTGACATCTGCTCTCATGGAAATAGAGCTCTAACATACTTGTGTTCATTAATTTTCAGAGATGCTTTACCAGAGATATTATAAGATATATCGCAGGGACGCATGAGAATTAACTATCAATTCACAGAAATAATGCTAAATATCTGTAAAAGGTGCCTAATAAGTCAAGTCTAGTAGGAAATATGATAAGCGTATAACATATGTTCAGTCCTGCTATACAATGTGTATTTAATTGCAACGGGAATCTGATGAAAACTGATATTATGCAAATTCAAGACCGAACCGCAGGTGCATACTCTATGAGCTGCAACATATGACTTATTGAGTGTGGACGTAGCTTAACATCTCTTACAGTGGGGTGTTTTTCAAACTGATGGCTTAACTTTGAAAATGCAGATATGTCAGGAATGCAGACAAACACCCAGCCCTCCCACCACCTGCCCTTCCACCCCCCCCCACCCCCCCGTCCAGCTCATCACAATCAGCGCAAACCAAAAGGACGAGAGACAAAAGACAGAAAGATAATGGAGGCGGGGGGGGGGCAAAATGCTGAGCTTGAGGAATGCCATTTTCAGTTTACAACGAAAAGAGGGAAAGGGAAAGTGTCAGAGAAAGTGTCAGGACGCCCCCCCCTCCTTTACTTGATGGCGGTTTTGTCAGCCCCCCCAGGCCATGTTGGAAGGGCAAACACACATCCTTTAAGAATCTGCCCACTTCAAGCAGAATCGCAGTAGCTCGGCAGATTTTACAGAGGACAATGTGAATGTGCACGATCAACACAAATCTACAAGTTGTAACACTGAAGGTTTCCTGTGGATCCTGGCAGAATAGCTGCTGCAGGAACTGGTTGCCACTCATGTTTTGGGGCATTTTCTGCCTTAGAGGACAGTATACAGCAGGGAAGTGTGAAGAGGTGAATTCAGTGTACAAAACTCCTATTACTGTATACAGAAGTCGTATCTCAAAGTCGTTTTTGAAGTTGTGTATTGTTACTAGAAGAATTCTCATAATGAAAAAATATTCAAAGATACAAAATCTAGCAACATTTATCAGCGTTATAATTTCTTGCCTCTGCAGATTCACTGAAGACATCATTCAGATTCTAAACTCTTCGTCACATCGATGATTCAAACTCTTCCACATCGTCATTTCTTATGTCCAGTTAAATCCGTGTGATTAGATTGATACTGAGCTGTTGCTGTTTCACGTCGCCGTGTTGCCAAATTGGCCGTGTAGCTCTAATTGACAAGACGGGTGAGAGGCGGGTTGGACGCTAATTGATTCCTGCTGAGACGACGGCAGTGAGATGTCATTTCTGCCTCTTAAGGCGAGAGTCTTCAGGGCTCTCGCTGATAAATGTGTCGCTGCCTCGCATTCCGTGTGTGAGTGTATGTAAAAAAAAAACATCCTCAGCTGGCAGGGAACTTGTGTCGGAAGGAGTTCCCTGAGCTAGCAAGCGTCTAATTAATCCTAACTCCTCCAGTCTTAACGAGCGCTTAATTACTCTCACTGGCTCTCTGAAGACACCACGGCAGAGACCGTAGCAACACACACACACACACACACACACACACACACACACACACACACACACACACACACACACACACACACACACACACACACACACACACACACACACACACACACACACACACACACACACATATATATATATGATTGTCTGGTCAAGAAGGCAAGAGCTTTCACTGCTCAATTAAGATGTGTGTGTGTGTGTGTGTGTGTGTGTGTGTGTGTGTGTGTGTGTGTGTGTGTGTGTGTGTGTGTGTGTGTGTGTGTGTGTGTGTGTGTGTGTGTGTGTGTGTGCGTGCGTGTGTGTGTGCGTGCTCGCTCATCTGTGCCTAAAACAGTTGTCAGCTCAACCCACTTCCCACAGCGAGCGAGCAGCCATTGTGTGTAAGAGGCTCATCTTTAAGAACCAGTTTCCCATAGACAAAGTCCATTCAAGTCCAATTAGGGGAAGCCATTCAGGGCTCTAATTCCCTTACAGTGAATCTGCCTGATCCCCCTAACACATGCTACTTATTGTTCCCTGGGAAGGAGGTGGGGGGGGGGGGGTTAGGGGGGAGGAGGAGTAAGAGAGGAGGGTGAGAAAAAGAGGGAGAAAGAGACATTGACCCGGATTTTGGAAATATGGTAATGATGAAGGTAATGAGTGCAAAGGGACAATGAAACAATACTCAGACAGACAGCAACAGGGTGCACACTCTCACTCAGACGCACGCACGCACGCACGCACGCACGCACGCACGCACGCACGCACGCACGCACGCACGCACGCACGCACGCACGCACGCACACACACACACACACACACACACACACACACACACACACACACACACACACACACACACACAGGCAGCCTTGAAAAGAACAGCCTCACACATTACAAATAGGATTATGCGTGATTCATTTATTTATTAAAGAAAATATAATATCTGCAGAGTTCCTCCCACTGTTAAACATGGTGGATTAACGGGGATTACGACTCAATTAAAACTCAATTTCAATGTAAACCGTTATTTGCATAAAATGTCAATAAGAAACCTAGGATTTCTTAAAGGATAAGACTGCAGATAAATTGTTCTTATTGTTAACAACTCCTATGAATATAACAAAATCAACAATTTAATGAGACTACTTACAGGTTGAAATATGAAAACGCATTAATGAGCCACACTGTCGCACTAGGTGACATGTTCCTTCATTTTGTTGAACACAAACGTTCCTTTTGACTCAATCTCACGTACTATTGTAAGTATTTACTAAAGAAACACATGTGTATACTTCTCCATGTGAAAATAGTGCACTCAAAATTGCACTTTGGTAAAAGTAACATCACAGTGTTAACTAAAATGTAACGTATACAGTAAGTGTTGAATAACAGACTGAGAAGTTAATAAAAAAAGACTAAACTAATAGTAAATCAGCTTTTCTTTGTCTGCAATAGAGGCTCACGTTTAGCTGTCATTCAGTTAGCTGTAAGTCCTTAATGCTTAGACAATACATTCCAATAGAACTACGTTTTCATTTCAATAAATCCCACTGTTTATGTAGATGTGATCCAGCCTGTAATGCTGTCCATCTGCTGAGGGAAGTTTCTGTTCAAAGCACTGCAAACATGTCCTAATCTTAATCCATGTTTGTGGTGATGAGGGAGATTCATTTAATTTCAATGTAATGATAAACCAACAGATTGGAAATAACATTCATTTTAAAGCTAATATCAATCTCAAAAAGATAAACTCATAAACGGATTCTATGCATTAATAAGATAGTAATTTATCATTTCTAATTCACCAAATTAAACCTAAAACCACAGATTATTTGTCCACTACAAAATGAAGTATACTTTCTCACATAATTTACACTATGATGATTAAGGAAAATTACTAATTGCAATACATATGTCTTTAAATCTTGATATTTAGAAGATGATAGATATTTCTTTACTTTCAGTCTTTAAGACACTTGCAAGATTGCTGACAGACCTTACCATCATTCTCACTTAAATTATAATTTCACAAAACATAATGGGACTTTTTAAAGAAGTTTCTCATCATGGTTTATTAGGATATAATACTGCCTGGACACTATGACCCCTAACGGCCCACATTTCTACCACTTAATGGACTCCGAGTCACACACATGCACTGGGAGCAGGTAGACTTAGCAACCTTGTGTATGCCTAGCAACCTGGTGTCCCAGCGACCCTTGTTGCCATGGCAGCAGACCAGGATGTGGCACTGCCATGAGGAAGTGGTCACCACAGATATGAGCTAAAGGGCAGCTGGTGTGTGTGTTTGTGAGTGTGTGTGTGGAGCTGCTCATTTGAATAGAGCGTCCTGAATCCGCCGAGGAGCCGTATGCTCCTTTACAAAACACACAGCAGCCTGTAAACACGGAACAATCAGCGCCTTTGTTTTAAGGCTGTTGTTCTGTTGTCATTCCTTTCATTTGTTTGTCAAACACCCCCCCCCCCCTCTTGTCCCTCTGTCATTTTCTCAAAAAAAACTCACGCACACATACCGTCCATCATGTCCTTTTTTCTTCTCATTAGTTTTCCTTGTCTTGCGAATCACTCACTGTTAATATTTCATATCAATTTTTACCCATAATACCTACACAACCTTTCTTGTATAAAGATGATTTGTCTTGTCCATAGGTTTCAAGAAAGGTTAAACTTCTCATTTTATATAACTGAGAGTGAGAGTGAAAGTGTTGTTGTGTGTGTGTTTTGGGTGAAAGAGGTCCGGAGGTTGAGGCCGGTGTGTGTGTGTGTGTGTGTGTGTGTGTGTGTGTGTGTGTGTGTGTGTGTGTGTGTGTGTGTGTGTGTGTGTGTGTGTGTGTGTGTGTGTGTGTGTGTGTGTGTGTGTGTGCTGTGTGTGTGTGTGTGTGTGTGTGTGTGTGTGTGAGAGAGGGAAAGTGGGCGGTAACACCCCCCTCCCCCCCAACCCCAGGACGATTAAGGCCAGAAACTCTAATTATGCTACAGAGACGTGACAGACTGGAGCACCCATCTGCGCTATAGGGACTCACACACACACACACACACACACACACACACACACACACACACACACACACACACACAGCACAACACACATCGAAATAACACACATAACTGAATAATATCAGACATCAAAATGCAATTAACAAACAAACACTTCAGTGTGAGAGTATCTGACGGTTGTGGAAAGGTGGTGAGAAATTAGCTCAGAACACAATCATGAACAACAGAATCGCACTGTAACTGAACGCTTCAAAAAGACGCACACCTGTTTACAACAGCTCATCTGTCACTGATTTTTGAGATCTGATTCTAAATATGCCATTGAATACCCATCGCTTCCTTCAGGCTGACAGCAGCATTTCCCATATCTTTTTTTGTATTTAAGAAAGAGTAGGAGCCACCCTATCCTGTACATATCTTCTTACAATTGTGTACTAGCACATTGAGGCTCCATTGTTATCGCAATGCAAACATATTCTTTTTTATATATACTTTTGATTATCAAACAGCAACTCAAGCTTGTGTTTCCAACAATGCAGTTATTCCTATTCAGTTATTTGCACCCTAAACCATGATAGTTCATTTTTTGTCTGTCATTTAAAACCTTGTCTATATTCGAACATGTATATATACATAAAGATGTATCTCCTACAATATCTAGAGAAATAATAACAGGTTATTCAGAATGAAAAGCAAAAGAGCAGTTAAGTCGCATTAAAAAAAAAACGTCACAGAAGAGAGACTTGAATAAAACTGAAAGTTGAAGGAGTGGAGGACAGAAATGTGAGGCTCATAAAAGAGAATACATGGAAGAGAAACACGAGAAAGACGAAATAGAGAGGGAAAGTTCTCACCTTGACATCTGAGAAGAAGATTTTGAGCATGTTGGAGGAGGGGTAGCGGTTGAAGAAGAACATCAGCTTGGCCTTCTTCAGGTGGTTGGGAGACAAGCCCTCCTGAATCTGAATAATAGTTAAGGAAGCAAAGAAGTATTTTCGGGAAAACACGGGGGGGGGCATTTTAACAGAAGCTAAAGTCAGGTATATCATCATAAAAATATATTTTTTTTTCCCCCTAAGTGACGTCATTATCCGCTTTATTTTCATTTTTTGTTCAAGTGATATTTTGGGTACATGGTCTTGGAAAAGGTATTTGGTGTTTTTCCATCCGTGCCCTCAAACCGGGATAAAATAGGCATGTATACGCACACAACGGATGAGTAGATAGAGAAAGAGAGTCTTTTTTAAAATTCAAATTAATTATTTAAAAGCAGTAGTGTGATTTGTGTAACTGCGGAGTGATTAGTGCCAGAGATGTCACATAGAGGAGTGACCGGTCCAGTAAAACACAACCGAAAAACATTTAGAGCCATTTTACACCAAAAGCAAAGATGGGCACCTGCTGGCTTTGGATCAAATCCCACATTCATCCCTGCATCTCGCCGCCTCTGCATCCCCGTGTCTATCCCACTGTCTCAACTGGCAAAAATAATAATTGTGGTTGCGGAGTGTATGTGTGAGTGTTTGTGTGACAACAGCTGTGCCCCACCACGCTGCCATTTCCCCACTACATTAACAGCCCTATAATCTATCAGAGAAGATGAGGCAATCAATGGAGCCCCCTGCAAGGTCAATTAGCACACAGGCAAACACACACTCCTACACACACTCACATACACATACAGGAACCCCAGGGGCCCTATAGTGCTGGAGAGAGGAACAGGGAAAGTGGGAGAGGGTGGCATCAACTATCGGGAAAAGAGGGAGAGAATGGACATGAATAATCCGAAAGAGTCAAGAAAATTGAAGGAGGTCTCAAGGCAGCAAGCAGAGGATATGATTTTAGGGATGATGGTGAAATATTAAGAAGCAAAAAAGATCATATCCAACACAAAAAGTCATGGGTGTTGTTACGCATGACCATGACACCACATGTGCCTCAGTGAATGAAGCCACAGTTGAGCCGTATTGTCATCCATCATTCATTTAGCAGCGGCTAGGCCAAGTCACCGGACAACAACACCATCACCTAGTTAACATTCATGCCAACCTGTCACTACCTGTGTGTTTAGGCCAGATAGCACACTGTGTGTACTTTCTGTCTTGTTTCACACACACAAGCTAAAGCACATGAACAGGAACAAACACACCGAAACACAAAAACAGCATTGAAGCAATATCATAATGAAAAAAGGCAATAGCATGTGTGTGTTTGTGTATTTAACAGTCGTTAAAGTGAGTCAGTGAATAAACAATCTTTTTCATCCTCTTCCTCACTCTTTCCAATACGTTTGTGTGTGTGTGTGTGTGTGTATCCTGATGCACATCTGTGCATGTGTGTGTGTGTGTGTTTTGCGCAGGGCACCCTGTATCAGCTGTAACTTGACCTTGTTGGCTGTGTGTGTGTGTGTGTGTGTGTGTGTGTGTGTGTGTGTGTGTGTGTGTGTGTGTGTGTGTGTGTGTGTGTGTGTGTGTGTGTGTGTGTGTGTGTGTGTGTGTGTGTGTGTGTGTGTGTGTGTGTGTGTGTGTGTGTGAGAAGGGGGGCATTGGGAGGGGAAGAAAGGGAGGGGGGATACATTCATAAATGAATGGGGGACATCTGCTCGGCTCTGTACAAAGGATTAAAGATACACAGACCTGAGAGTGTGTGTGTGTGTGTGTGTGTGTGTGTGTGTGTGTGTGTGTGTGTGTGTGTGTGTGTGAGTTCCTCTCAGGTGAATAATCAATGCTAACCACCTTAACCTAACTGCCACGCTTCTCCGAACCCTAAATCCTTCCACAATGCCGTCACAATTTTATCCCTAGCATGCAAAATTATTCATTCTTAATCTAGAAGCTGTTGATTGACATATCATAACATAACTAAAATCAAATATACTTCCTTATTAATTAACATGTGCTTACTGTACATAGCAATGGTTCCGTCCTGAATTGAAAAATAGTCAGGACTGCAAACGCGATCGTCTTTTTCAATTAATTGAATAATCAATCGATTTAAAACAAATAGTAAAATAAAGCCTGTCAAAATCTCCCTGTGCTCAAGTTATCTTCTTCAAATTATTAGTTTTTCTCGAAACCAATTGTCCAAAAGTAAAGGATATTCCAATTTATAATAATTGAAGCAAATCCAAAGAAGTTTTCTGTTTGTTGAATAATTGTAATAACTACTATAATTGTCATTGACATTTTTGCCAATTCATTTTCAGTCCATCAACATCAATACAGGACTAACTGTATGATCATTTTTGTCCATTTTAGATTTTGTTACCTTCAAAATCAAATAAAAAGTCGGCTCTAAGGATGGTCAATATCTTTGAAATACTAATGTCCAATTTCAAAGACTTTCTTCCAAATGAATAGAAAAGCATTTTGGAATGAAACGGCTTCGCAGGATCAAGAGACGTGTCAAATATTTCTTTTTTTAATTAAAGCAACATCTAAATTGGCTTTGAAGACGACACTGTGATCACATCCTCATCACAGCTGCAAGGAGTTCCTATTTGTCAGGTTCAAAGTCTTAATTCTCTTTTCACTTTGTTCTTCAAGCGTGCACGTGGGTGTGTATGTGTGTGTGCTCGTATGCCTGCATGTGTGAGCGTAAGTGTGTGACATGGAGAAGCCCTCTCCATATGAAAGGTTAGACACGAAACAGCTACCTGCAAACACCTGTCCACATGCACACTCTATGAAAGGGAGTGTGTGTGTGTGTGGGCGTGCACCGGGAAAGGTAGCAAACAGCTGCCGAGCAAAAGTCCAACAATTGAAAGATCAACAGCTAAAAGGAGACAACCAGCTAAAAAGTGTAAAGATATTACACTTCTCATTATGTGTGCTCACAGAAACACACACATTTAGAAAGCTTCCATCAATCAAACATTCACCTGTTCCTCTCCGTGCTCTTTGAAATATGATTAGCTTTGAGCTCCTATGAACAAGGTCTTACCCCACACCCACACGTGGACAAGTGAAATATGATTTGCTTTGAGCGTTTAAGTACAAAGTCTTTAATGCTGTTAGGTTCCCTTTCATCAGAGTGTCTCAGACAGTGTGTGTGTTTCTGTGTGTGTGTTGTTGAACAGGGAGCTCACTAGCCTTTCTCAGCACCTTTACACAACACAACCTGCTGCCGACACTTAAAAGAGCTCCAGAGAGCGGCGTGCGACCTGTTTAATCTTCCCCCTCTTGCACGACCCACCGCGGCCCTTTTCATCTTCCCCGCTAAGCGAGGAAAGAAAAGGGTTAGAGCAGGAACAATTAATGCAGGTGAATTGATATTGAAGACGTTCTTTGACGGCCGCCTGCTGCTGCCTCTAAGACACCGTTTTTGACTGTGTTTAAAATGTGACGTTTGTGGATTAGGGAAATAAAATCATTGCCTATTTAAAATCTTTCCAAATGATTTTACGGATGTTTTTTATACCTAAAATACCTAATGTTTCACGTGTTTAACATCATCCTTGCTAAACATCTGACAGGATGAAGGGGGATAACAGCTTTGACCATGCTGAATCTTCATTTTAATTTCATCTCTGAGACCCAAACCTAACGCAGGACTAAAACCTTAATATGTAGAAGATAACACAAGCTTTAAAAGAAAACACAAACATGTACTCATTCTCAAACACAAAGGTGCAGTGAAAAGGATACGGTGCTGCCAGAGTAGGGCGATATGTCAGACATGTCTTGAAGGTCCCCACACTCAGACTTGATGAGGGACAGGGACAGAGCCTCCGGTGAGCTCTGCCGGTGGTGGTGGTGGTGGTGGTGGTGATGACTGAGATGGCCCCCTCCGAGGGATGCCATTTTGGTTCTGAGGCTGAGAGTTTCCCTGGTCATGTCCATAGAATCGGGGGAGGAGCGATGATGGTCCTTGGGCCCTTGAGGGTAGCCGGCTCCACCCCCGTGTGAAAGAGGGCTCTGAAAGGGATACCCCATAAGGGGAATAGGGAATGGGTGGCGAAAGGATGGAGGGCTAAAGCCGAGCGAGGCGGTGAGGGGAGAGGGGTGAAGGGAGGGATGGTGGGAAAGATGGTGAGAAGGAGGAGGAAGAGAGGGGTGAGTGTTGTCGCCTCCACCTCCCCCGCCGCTCTTGCGCACCACCAGGGGCAGAGCCTCTGTCTGGTCGCTGGGCATGGGCACCCCACTCAGTCTGCCACTCAGACCCCCGAAGGGGTCCAGCGGGCTGGGGATGATAACGTCTCCGAAGCAGTGCAGCCTCTGGTTGGAGGAGTGGTAGTTAGATGTTGGACTCCCGTCCCCGTTCAAACTGAGGGCCAGGGCGCCAGCGCCAAAGCGTGAGTCTGGGGTGAGGGAGGGAAGGGGGCAGAAAGGTGGGGGACAGGAAGAGGACGAGGTGGAGGAAGAGGAGGGTGCAGCTGGTGTGCTGCTGTGGCAGCCGTGGTGACTGACAACCTGCTTGGGCGAGGAGAAGCCTTTGACGACGGTGTCAACAACCTGCGACACGGCACAGTTCAGTTCCTGCTTCAGCGTCTCCGCTAACTGCCTTCCTCCTCCTCTCCTCTTCATCGCACTTACTAAATTCCTCTCCACCTCCTCCCTGCTGTCCACATCCTCCTCCATCTCTCCATCTATCAGGGCCTGTTCTCTGAGGAGGGCTCTGGCCCGATCCAGGAACAGGCCTGGGTCCAGCTCAGACAGCTCCTGGTTGCTATGGCGCCCTCTGGCTCTGTGCCTCTCCTCCAAGCCGTCAGAGCGGATACTGTCCTCTGATAGGTTGCCGTCTTCATCTCTTTCTCCGCCTCGGTCAGCATCTCTGCTCTCGCCGTTCTCTTCATCTTCCTCTGTCTCTGAGTCGTAGATCTGGTAGAACTTCTCCTGGAGCTGACGCAGCTGTTTCTAAAAAACAGAGGAAAGAGAATGTTAAAGATGTCTCCTGAACCAAAATGTCAACTGTTACCACAAATTTGCCAAAAGATAAATGGAAATAGTATGTCACCCACTCGGTGGGCTGATATTTGTTTTACTTTTTTTAGGTGCAAATTCGACGAGTAGGATGGAATTAAGGTAATACTTAAATCTGTGTTAATTTACGTTAGCCTTCTTTTAGATCATGAGAAGCAGGTCTTGTATAGTGCCTTTTTGCAATTGGTGTACGTGGTGCATTTTAGCAGAGTATCTACGCATGACATATCTACCCATAATGTCTTCTACCAACCTGCATGTCCTCCAGCTGCAGTTTGAGTTGCCGTCTCTCCTCCTGCCTCTGCTCCTGCCTGGAGCACACTAGTTGGGTGAAGCATTGTTGTTGCTGGGGCAGGCGCTGCTTTCTCTTATTCTCCCGATAAACTTCACCAACGCTGACCACACCCCCCCGGGAACCTGGAGAGCTCAGGAGGGAGGAAGGCCCGTCGCTCCGGCTGTGGTTGTGGCTGCTGGTGTTGCGGCAGTTACCTTCTCTTCTGTGGCCATTACTGCTGTTACTGTTGATGCTGCAATTCTCATTTTCGCGGCTGATATCTTGGTTGTGGTCGCCGTTGGACCGGACCAATGGCGAGTGACTCATACTACGGATGATGTTTTCCACGCGGGCACGCTTTGCGCGAAGATGCTCGTCCGACAGCCTGTCCAAATCAAAAGTGGAGAGGGAGAGGGGCTGAGAAGGAGCGTGGGAGTTGAGGCTTGAAGAAGGCAGTGGTCGCCCAAAGGAGGAGGAGGAAGGGGGGGGGAGAGGAGGCCCAGGAGAGAGGCAGTCAGACGGGCTGTCCCGGTCGCGGGAGGAGCTGCTGCAGGCGTCCTCGGCATGGATCTCTGAGCCTCCACTGGACAGAGCTCCACTCCCCTGGGATGGAGGACAGGGGGAAGGCATTAATGATAGAGCACTGAATGGGGATTACAAATAGTGGCTTGTTTGTTTGGCTGATAGGAAAGATCAAATGCAGATGCAATTCAATCTAAAACATAGTAATCTAAACTCACATATGGCTAATTGATGAATTGTGTGTGTGTGTGTGTGTGTGTGTGTGTGTGTGTGTGTGTGTGTGTGTGTGTGTGTGTGTGTGTGTGTGTGTGTGTGTGTGTGTGTGTGTGTGTGTGTGTGTGTGTGTGTGTGTGTGTGTGTGTGTGTGTGTGTGTGTGTGTGTGTGTGTGTGTGTGTGTGTGTGTGTGTGTGTGTGTGTGTGTGTGTGTATACCTGGAAGCCTGAGTCACTCCCTCCATTCTTGCCCATGTTACTCTTCAGTAGCTGAGAGATGATGGTGGCACCAGGGAAAGGCATTATGGCGTCTTCGTACGAGTTGGCCCTTTTAAGCAACTTCCTCAAAACATTGGACTTCTCTCCGTCACTGTTGGAGCCGCCATGTCCGTGACTGACTAGAGAGCAGTCTCCGTCCTGATCGTGGCCGTGTGATTGGTTCATGCTTTCGAGCAGGGTCTCCCTGGCGCGGCTGAATAATGCACTAGCCACAGTCCTTTTCACCCCAATGTCGACACGTCGGCGCTTTGTCTGTCTGGTTAGAAGGGTGTTGCTGTCATGATCAGGCATCACGCAGGGCAGCTAAGCGGACATGGCCAAGGGTCCTCGCAGACACGCAGGATGAGAAGAGGTTCCTGGTTAAAACAAATAAACAAAAATTGCAACGTTAAAAAAATGCTATACCACCTCATTTATTGTTACATTTGGATAAATTGTGTATTATGTGGTCATATTTCAGTCAGAGAGAAGCAGAATTATTTAAATGTTAAGCTATATTTTTAAATCAATAGCTGATCTCTACAGAAAGAAACATTTAAAATATATAGTTTGAATAATGCAAAAGCTGTTTAATTAAAATCAGTTATCAGATTTATTACAGAATCATTCCAACATAACATTAACAGAGACTACTATGGACAATGTGTTTTTCTTCCAAATCATTTTATACTAATATTATTTTAACCTTTTGCACAGAGTTGACAATAACTACCTCATATACAAATCACCAACTCTGAACCATTCTTATCCATCTCCAAATTCACAAAAGGATAATTGTAGAGCAGAAAAAAAGGAACCACTTTGAGAGTAGAAATTCCCAGGAAGGAGTAACACCTGGCTGTACAAAAACAAAATGATATCCCACTTCCTCCTCGTCCCTTGAGGAGTAACCTTGATTTCAGCTTCTTGTTAGGAGCTGTGAAGAATCGACAGGTCCTCTCTTATTGTCAGAGGGATTGTTGCAAGAAAAATAACTGTGTGTTTGTGGGTTAGTTTTATTTCAGAGAGATTTCTTCACATGATAGTAAATGGGTTGTTATTGTAAAATGTTTTATTCTATTTGAGGCTTAAAAAGCTCTACATACTTCGAATGAAAAGCGAGGGTAATTTTTCTGTCAGTGAATATATTATTTGTGTAGAGAAGCACAGTGCACCTCATAAAGGTTAGGTATCTTTGTCGATGCTCTGGAAACACTTCAACTATCTTGTGGGAAATATTGAAACGCCGGCTTCACCCTTACTTCCCCACAGGCTAAAGCTCAATTCTCGGTCAAATGTAATTTCGCTTAATTTAAGATTCATTCAAATGGAAGTAGACAAAACAAATCTAAAAAGTGTTGCCAAAAATAAGCTTTTGCAATCTTAAAACACACTGACGGAGGAAGTGGATATCTGCTTCCTTCACACATGCATACATCCAGCGTTTTCCATGTTACATGTTTGCATCTGTTTTGCAAGTGATTTCAGGGTTAGGTCTAGGGAAATATTTTACGAATGAAAGCTGCTCCTACAACAGTTTGGTAGAGCTGTGCCTTTGTCCACTGGAGTTTTGGCGTTTGTATTCCACTGTTAGAAAATGTGAAAACAAAAACAGCAGCTCAACTCCGATTTTAAAGAAAGACACAGAACTAATAGGAGACACTTTTGCAAAACCGACAAAGCAGACACTGTTCCTGCCGGGCCAAATGAAATAGTTTCTAAGCAGACGAGAAGGGTTGTTTGAATGTGACTGAGTTTTAGTGTTGCAGATGAGAGGTGTTCAGAAAAACACTCAGCGGCCTCAGCACAGTGCCCAGCAGTGACCCAGATACACACACTCACACAGAACATGCAAACACACTATCTGTTAGCGTGATTGGTTCCTCAGGATTACTGTGGGCAGAGGTCTGGCCCGTGTACACACACACACACACACACACACACACACACACACACACACACACACACACACACACACACACACACACACACACACACACACACACACACACACACACACATCACACACACACACACACACACACACACACACACACACACACACACACACACACACACACACACACACACACGCACACACCGAGGTGGTAGAGAGACTAACAGTTTAGATTAGGGGGTCCAAAGAGCTTGGAAACTTGGTTATTTGGAAACGTGTGTTTGAGGTCAATTTGAGGGGGCATCAGTGGAAAAACAGCTAATGTTTCATGTTTGCATTCGTCAAACCTTCACCTTTTCCAAGAACATATTATCTTATATAAATCTAAGTGTGTCTACTTATCAAGAAGTTTAAAAACCAAACACACCAAGGTTTGAAGTTGAGCACCGAAAGCAGATGTGAGAGTATGTGTGTGTGGTTTCGGCATTAAAACTGAAACTTTCATTTGAATCTGAATTTAAAGGGCAGGAATACGTTGCAATTGAGAACTGAAATGGGAAGTAACTGATGTGTGTGAAGTGTAAATGACTTATTTCCATGTAAAGGGTGAACGTGAGTGGTGTTGCTGGATTAATTTATCTTTGGTGATATTTGTAATTCTAGTAAACACAAACTCACTTTAACCATTTGTTATCTGCTTTTATGAATACTTTTAGCTTACAATAATATCAACATAATTATATAACTTTTGGTAAAAAGCGTAGGTCATAATTTGTTCACCTTTTACTTCCTATACTTCATCTCTAAGAGGAACTACATACCCAGGTTATTACAACAGTGTAAAGTGGATTATACTTGTGCGCTTCAGAGTCTGACAGAAAACACAAGCTGATCACTTTGCACGGCAAATACTGAGGGATGTTTGTCATAGTCCGAACAACAATTAGACAAACATTTCCAACTCAACATGCCGTTCATTCTTTTATGATAACGTTTTAAAAATGATGAAGATCTGTGCCAATAGAAACAGATAACGTCCCTGGTTCTCTTGTTTTAGCGAAATTGGCGGACCTCTCTGGAAGTACAGATCATTAAAATAAAACGTATTGAAGACATTCATTTAAATGAGTCCACTGACAGGATTCCTTATTTGCTTTAATTTGTGAAAGAAGAAGGATTTTAAAGCTAACCTCCTAAATACTGAATGACTTGGTAAGCAGCAAAACCATAAAAACAAGAATTGCATGGACTCCAAAAGCAACGGCAGGTGCGTAAATCCAAGCGACTTCTACAAACTGGAAAGGAAAGTAGCCGTGAACTAAAAGTCATTTTAATTTTAAAACAAACTTTGATCATATATTGTGTTTCACGCAATCGTGTGTATACAGCCGGCAAGAATCACAAACAAAACTAACGCGCCTGATGTCAACGTGAGCAGAACCAGTTTCGGAAAACAGTCCAAAATTCAACTGCGCCCTGTGAATCCGCAATGCGCGGCGAGGGGGGACCGGCTCCTCCAACTCACCGAGGAAATAAAGTTCGAACCTCAAATCAGACACACTCAAACACACACAAGCCCATGAGTGACGATAATGGTAATAAATAAAACGTTTTTCGACTTACTTCTCTCTCGAGCGTTTCTCCAAGTCCGTCCGTCGAAGAAAGGGTGAACACAAGACACAGATCCTGGCTCGTCTTTGAGATCAATGCCGTAATTTACTAAGGCAAAGTGGAGACGTATGCGGAGCGTGCGCGCGCGGGCATGGGTGTGTGTGTGTGTGCTGGAGAGATAGACTCATAGAGAAAGTGTGTGTGGGAGAGATCGAGTGACAGAGAAAGAGAGTGAGAGAGAGAGAGAGAGAGAGATAGATAGAGAGAGAGAGAGAGTCTGCTCTTGTGCGCCGCTCTCCTCCCGGGATGGGAAGTGTTTAGTATCGAGCGCACCCGGTCCGTCCTGCACTGTCTGCTCCTCGCGACTCCTGTTTTCCTCCTCTGAGCAAGACTCTCAATAAGAAACAAGAAGAGGCGCACATGAAGGATACGTGAAGACGCTGCGTCACAGGGCCCGGAGTGAGGTAACGACTCCACCTGACCAATAAGGATGGGGGACCAGGGACGCTGGATTTAATTTATAAGGAGCCCTCCGAAAGCAGCGCAGAGCGGAGAGGGAGAGAGAGGAGAGAGGAGCATGGAGCGGAGGGTAACCCAAAGTCAGGTTCAACAAGCTTTCTCATTTGCGGAGAATCTTTGTAGATTACCGTTTAATTTAAACCGGATTTTAGGGGCATCAATTATCCCTTTTTCTCTGTTGAAGCATGCCCCCATGTTTCTATTTATTTTTGCAATGCCCAGTGTTGTGTACATATGAATCACCCGTCAATACAAATATATATTAGATGTCATTGATGAATAAAGAGCCACTTGTATTGCTTGTGTGCATGCCTTTACTCAGTAGTACATTTACAACATTGCATACAACTGTACGAATATTATATAAATATTTCTAATAAAAACAGGCTTTACATGTTTCTGGTTCTTTTCTTCCACCGTCTTTGATAACTTGTGTACGTCAGACATTTCCAAAATAAATACATGTTGTGCTTGAATGCAGCCGTAATTGCCTGCTCCTAATTGGAAACGACGGTACGCCTCTGCGCGGGGCTCCAAATCAATGAAAGAAAGTTGTCTAAAGGCAGACAAATGAGCCGATAGTTCTGATGTGTCCAGACCCCTCTTCTCCAGAGATCAGAGTTCAGGAAACCTTGGAACTGATAGCGAGTCAGTGTTTTGCTCAAAGACACTTCCGCAGGAAGCTCTCCGTTATCCAGATTCACTAAAGACACCCAGAGATGTTCAGAAAACATAACCAAAGAAATATGTAAATAATATGTCCAGGTTGAAGCAGTTTTGTAGAAGATAACGTGCTGAGGCCTTTTGAGAAACCAGCAATCCACCATATAATTTAAATGTATAGCATTCTAATATAAGCTTTATTTGTCACAATTTATTTTAAGTCTTTTAGCTTTTACATATACATCTTAATGGATGCAGTGTTTACGCGCACGTTCCTTCAGCATCAAGGCTCACAGATTACTCTTATTCACTTCCTTATATGCGCAGGTAGAAACATTTCAGAATTATTTCAGACTAGTCCACGACGGATCACTTCATAAATTCATCTGTGTTCAACAGATGGTTAAAATGTAAATCACAAAAAATGTATGAAGCGAAAAATATTCTTCATGAAAATGAATAATAACTTAGTAACATATCAGTTCCAATTCAGTGTTTTTCTTGTTTAGAACAGTTGGGAAATGTATTTGTGTATAATATTCTATATCTGACTTTGTTTAATACTAAAGAAAAACCTTACGGAAATAAAGAAAAGTGGAACTATGTCATGTCGACAATGTGGTATGATTTTAAAAAGCGAAATGATTCTGTTTGGTGCATTTTTTTTGCATTGCGCATGCAGAGGTATTGTAGTGGTGTGTGGGACACATCATGAAAAAAACACGTAGCCTATTACCTACATTAAAAAGTGTATTTGTAATTTAAACTTGTTTGACAGGAAAACATTTTCCGGAGCATTGTGTTCCTCTTTCAAACGAGGTCATTCAAAATCGATACGGTATTTCAACATTATTATTCAATAAGAAATATCAGCGCAGCCTCTCAGACGATCAGCGCTTACCCCGCGTCTCTGCTCTTAACTCAATAACGCACGGGAATAATCGGCTTTTACACGAAGTTATACACTTACTTTCCGGCTCTGCCGTGCGGTTTAATTTGCAGCAAAGACAAATATTAAAACCCAGAAATAAAAAACATTTTTACCCCGAGGAGACAGCTGTGTGTTCCGTGCCACACAGGATGTCCTTACACGCAGAAGCGAACAGGCCCAGTTTTTCTAATGATCGCCAATTATTTGCCACGGACACGGAAACTTCACCACAGCAGCGCACGGAACTTTTCTTTTCTAGCTGAAAAAGCTGTGACCTATTTGTACTTGGTGCCCTGGGTGATGCCATTTCGTAGTTTGGTAACTGCAATAATTGTGAACATTTCCCCTTTGTATATCTGCAACGAGAGAGAGAAAATGCGCATGGTTAGAGAAGATAATAAAGGGCTGTCTTACACTAAATGAGTAATGCTCGTGAGCTTATGGAACATACTTTATGCATTTTGAAAAAAAGCCTATTTCCTGAGTCTGAAGGAGGGGTGATGTGCATATACAGAGGAGGGGGCATATTTGCTTTTGATACAGTTTTTGCAGCTGAAAATGATAGGAATTCACAAAATCTCTGATAAAAAGAGGTATTTCCACTAAAGCAGGATGATAAATAATCAATCAAAAAGAGTGGTGTTTCCTAAATATGTGCTTTTTGTGCTTTTCACATCATGGGTAGAAAATAAGCATATTAATGTTTAACTCTGTGACCGCCATGTGTTTACTTGCCCGATGAGCCGATGACCCCCACTTGTGTTTTTGTGTGTGACGTGAGAGACAGTGTGTGTTACTCAATGAAAAACAGATTTGTGTACACACACTTTGAGCCACTGTCTTTGCATTTGTGAAACACAAGTTGAAAGTGTGGGAATGTGTGTGTGTTTTATGTTTCGGTCATGGCCAGTCACCCCGAACTGTCCCTACAGTTTACTCACCGACATCCCAGAGTGACCTTACAACCCAAATACCAACAGCTAGGTTTTTAATCAACCCGCTGCTAATATCATAGGATTTAACCAGACTGACAATCCAAACAAACGGCACACTACACCTCATGTTTAGATCACACCCTGAGGATTAGGGAGAGTTTTCCTACAAGAGAAAGGGATGACAATAACACAGGTTTTAGCTTTGAAATTGAAAGCATTTCCCTCAAATACTTCTGACATGCAAATGACTTAAATAACGGTTACTCCAGGATTAGGCTATGTTTCTACACTTTTACCGTATACTGTTCAGTCATGTATTTTTAAGGAAGCTCCATAGGAATCTCATCCAAAACTAAAACTGTTTTCATCAAATCGTATTTTCACAATACGACATGTGACTAAATGAGATACTCGAGACAAAGTATTTTTTTCTCAGCCACCGGTGCTTTACTGTCATTTACCACAGGTTCAGTTTTATCTTGCAAGTCTTAAACAGTTTTATACCAGTTCCACTTTTCTGTTTCAACCATAGTCTTAGAAACACACGCACATAGCATCAGTGTAAAAAAAAAAGTATCTTTACTTGAATCACTATGCAAATATAAACTACTACAGGCAGTCTACTGCAAACGTTATAGTCAAAGTACTCGTTTAGTTCAATTTGGTTAATTTCTTCCAACACTGCTTAAATATACATGTCATTTATGTAAAAAAGCATTTAAAATCCCACGCAAGACACTACAAGAGACAAAATGAGCCCTGCCAGTCAACAGAAATCAAATGGACTTGGGTAGATTGGAAGTTTTTGTAAGATCCAACATCTTCCAGCCATTAGTGAAGCCACTTATGAGCAGTGGCGGTTCTAGACCAATTTGACTGGGGGGGGCCACTGGGGGGACAGTTATTTTCTGAGGGGGGCACAATAAATGCAGGACGAAAAAGAGAACTAGACAGTATGAAGTTATTGCGCATAAGAAAACAATGCAATACAGTTATTGGTATTTGTTTCAGTACACTTATTTATTTCAGATATATCTTATAGTTATTACTGTTAGCTTCAGCTTAAGTTATAGTACACCATATTTATATAAAAATAAAGGCAATGAACAGTTACATCTCTACTTTACATCTACAATTACACGGAAAACAATAGTTTAAATCACCTTCAATTATCGTGGTAGTCTCTCGAAACGTAGGTTTCAATCAGTCTTTCTTGGATGCAACAGCCTCTGATGATCCGAGATGAAAAGTGTTTGTTTTTCGCACGCTTCAGCCGGACAGTGAAAGTGAGTGCACCGCTCTAATGGGTCCGACTAGAATGACGAATAACGTTAGTTCCGCCTATTCCGTCATTCAATAAATCGTGTAATAAATCATACAGTACATTTTTCATTTTTAGGGGGGGCCACAGGGAGGTCAGAGGTCAGTGTTAGGGGGGCACTTGCTCCCCCCCTGGCCCCCCCTAGAACCGCCCCTGCTTATGAGGGAGCAGTGCCGTCAGGTAATGGTACTCAAATGTGTCCTAATAATGCCTCCGTGCCAGGAAAAGTTTACTTTGCTACTAGTTTGACATTACATACAGAGTCCTTGCATGTGCAGACACACACTGAGATGTGTATTTTATCACTCTGGATCATCTAATGCTGAGAAAGGAGACAAAAAGGGAATTATGAAAATAGGCAGAGAGAGGGAATAATGATAGGCCTGCCACTGATGGAGGTCTGGAGGTAAAGAAGAATGGATGCAGAGGTTTCTCTTTCTGTCTTTTCCTCCATCTGTCCCCCCTTGCTCTCCACTCTTTCTCTTTCTCCTCTTTTTGGTCTACTCTCTCTCCATCAAGATGCCATTATTCAGGACATTAGCGAAGAAGAGCTAAAAGCTCTCACTGTCGAGGAGGGTCCCAGGGTCCTTTCTGAGAGCTGTGACGCAAACACACACATGCACGCACACACACTTTGACTACAGAAGTAGCATATAGTGTAGGTGAAGAGGTAAAAGGTGGCATGGGGGTCTTATTGCAGACATTACCACCAGGCATCTAGGCTCCTCTACTCTCCTCTGTGGCAAAACACATGGACATTAGCACACACAAAGGAAAAATGAACAGTGCTCGAATTAAAGCACATTTTGACCACTCATCATCTTCTCTCTG